TTCTGTTCGGTAAGCGTTTCCGTTCCAAATGAACTTGCTCAGCTTAAAGAAAACTGAGTCTAACTTGTGAGTCCTCCATCCTCAGCTTCCCTCAGCCGGCTGATGGTCCATTTAAACCCTCAGACGTGATGAGCCGCGGCTGTAATCATCACAAAACATGGAGCACCTTCAGACAAAGAGAACTCCAAAGCTACTTTGGCCTCGTTTCCTCACATTCACAGCAGTAATTCTTCCCTTCACCTGGATTTTCTCTACATTTCTATTGTTTATCGGTGATGTGCAGGGGTTAAACAAATCAAACCAACTGTTTGCCTCCCTTTTTCCATCCTCTTCTTCCTCTCATCACAGCAGAAAAAAAAACAACCTCAGAGGAGAGCAGTACAGGCTGGAGAGGCTGCAGATAATGAGAGCCTGCTTGCATTAAATGGACAAACAGCAATCCGGCATCTCCTGACCCCTCTGTGCTCCTCTCGGCTCCATTGATCATCCCCTCCACCCCCCCTTATGAGATAATGCAATTACAAACATCAATAAGGAGCTGCGAGGGGAATCATTATGTGGTGACAGTGATAAATGATGCTGCAGAAAATAGCGGGCTCCTCTCAAACAATCCGCGCGCCCAAGGGGCTTTTGAGGGCCGGGGCCCCGTCGCCAAGGAGACAGATGACATCCAAAATGGCCCTCAACAGTCTTTCTCGATTCTTTTTGCTCCCCGGCTCTCTTTTTCTCCACCAACAGATTGTTGGAGGGGTTTTTTTTTTTTGTGCCTCCTTTTGTTTCAGAACCAGCTGCCACGCGATGTTCCTAGGAGGAGGTTCTAGAGTCTGTCCTCTGAGGCGTTCACAGGCCAACATCTCATCTGGATTCTGCTTCAGACTGATTTCATAAAGTGGGAAGATGTCGGAAAAACTATCTGAGCTCTATGTTTGTGATAGAAAAAAAAAGTATTTTTGGAACTTTTCATTTAGGTAAATTTTAATCAACAATCCTGAGTAGAAATTGTATATATTTAGACATACAAAAAAGACCCCAACTAAATTGGATGAATTCAAATGGGCTTTTGATTCAATTTTACTCAAAATAAATGCATTAAAAATAATGTGGCGTTTGCTTTTCTGGTTTTAATGAACTTAAATCTTTGACACAACAGCTCACATTAGGCCATTTATGTTTCTAACCTTTATAAATTGTCATGTCAATTCAAAGCTAAAAAAACAAACAAAATGAAAACAACATAATGAAAGAGTGGCGAGTAAAGTAGATAATGTCACAAGGATAAACATTTAAAATGTATCATAAAAAGACATAAAAACCTTTCACCTAACATCTAATTACCAGCAGATGCTTTGAGGTTATGAAGCCTGGCTGCTAGTAAATTTGCTCCATCGCTAAACCAGTTAAAGAATAAAAGACTACTAAAATAGTCCTAAACATTAAAAATCTTCTCTTAGATGGTAATATTTGTGCCTTTTAAGGCACACCATTTATTTTCAATGGCTACATCAGAACTAAAAAGCTTAGCTTGCTAGCAAGTTTGACTGTATCACTAACTAGCCAAATTAGCTAAGCTATCTACACTTGATACAAACTTAAATTCCTGCTCTGACTCAGCAAGTCTTAAGGCAGTTGTTACCTGTGGCTACCTTGATGGGGTCATTTATAGTCCAGCCCTTTTAAACATATCAGCCTCACAATTCTCTGGTGGATGTGCAAACTGTCGACCCAACCAACATGAGTTTCTTAATGTGTTTAGGTAGGATTTGTTACTTGAGAAACGTGGTTAATGTTTCAATATTTAATAAACCAAAATACTTGGGTGTATTTTAAATATATTTAATGCCTGACATTTTATATTATCATAAATTAATTTTACAGTATGTTAATTGTTTTGCTAACTGGTTGCAGTCTTGACAGTTAACTTTCGCGACTTTAAGTTTCTTCACAATACACAACATACCAGTGGACCTACTCCAAATTATTATTAAAGAGAACTTAGCTATTATCTATGCGTTTTTCTTTTTAGTATTTAATATGGCTATCTAATATACCAAGCTGTAATATATTTCAAAATATAAATATGACAGCCTGTAAATTTAACGTGGGTGACCCGTTTTCGGAATATCTTGTTCTCACGTCCTTCCTGCTTTGAAATATGCAGTGACGTCTTTACGTTTTCAAAACCCAGCAGTTTTTAAAGACAAAATTATCGGTGGAAAAGACAGAAGAGGGTGTAGGACTTAAATATGTCTCAAGGCCTATTTTAAGATAGATAAATACTTTTCCTGGCGACCTGAATTAAAACTCCTACACACCGCTTTAAAAGTGAGATATAGAAACAAATACATGGGGGGTAGGGGGGAATCATATATTTTATAGATGCAACGTTACCAAGAGATTTCAAAACCAGCATTAAGTGAAAACACATTTAACAAACAGCAGTAGTCACTTCGGCATGTTCAGCTCCGTGTTTTCTGCTTTGTCTTTGCACTGAAAGCTCCTCCGCTTGAACACTCACCGAGATTTAACAGTCTCATATGAAACGCACAGCCTCCTTGTCTGGGTTTCCCTCACTGAGCCACAAACGCGCAAACATATGTGCCTTGTGGGAGGAAGACAGGCCTGTGTGGACACCTCCACTGCTCTGGAACACGTTTCTGCTCCATTCATTATACCTGATGGTTCACTCCGCGGTCAGCGTGTGTTTAAAAAGGACAGCCGAAGCCTGCAATCACTGCGACAAACTACAGTGTTCCATGTTTTGTCTTGATAAAAGCCTGAAGAAAAGAATAAAAAGAAAAAAAGACGGGTTAAAAATGTTGAAGACAGATATAATGTAGGTCAGCTGCGTGGAAAAATAAAAAAAATATAAAATTCCCCGAGCGCGAACAGTCACGAATAATGTAAAAGTTTTCACATTCATTAAAACTCACAGTACATTTTAAATTTAGATTTATTATTATTTTAGCAAGCTTTGATTCGTTAAAAAATCTTTAACTAAGCTTTCTTTAGTCAAAGTTTAGTTAAACACCAAAGTAATAATATCATGACTTAATCATTACATTTTCCTGATTTAATTTTTTTAAAGCCCTATACTGAGAAATACAACGTAAATCAAATTAAAATTATTCACTTTTTCCACTAGAAACAAATTATATTATAAAGTCAAAAATTAACTACTTTTAGTTGTACTTTTAAGGCACTCAAAAGCGTTTTGTTTTTTTAATTATTATTATTTTCATTTGCTTTTTAAAATATTGTGACTCACTGCAGCTCTCCAGCTCTAAACAGCAACAACAAAATACTGATCGCAGTGTTTCTGTGCGCCCTGGAGATCCGTGCGTAAAATGAGACGTGGTTGCATTCTGCGCCGTCTCCAAAGCTTTCCAAGCCTCCATGTACTCGGACAGTTACCCGGCCTCCCTAAAGAGGGCAGTCATGCATGGGCTTTCTGCTCCACGTCTCCACCGCTCCCAGCGGCCACAGGCTCAGGAATTCACATTTCACAGCCTCGGATCTGCCAGCCATGCTGGAGAGACGCGAGGCAATTAAAACGTCGCCGTTTTTTTTTTTTAAAGATTGCAAAGTGTCTCCTGTTTTTTTTTTTGTTTTGTTTTGTTTTTCTTGCTTCTTCCTTAGTGTAAATAGCATTCAGCCCGATAAAAGCGGTAGAAACACAATAGTTGCTCGGAGGAGAGACAGAAACAGAGGGGGCTGATTTATACGCGCATATTGTTGCGGATGAAACAGACTCTCTGTTGTTCACCAAAAAAGAAAGAAAAAAAAGGGGAAAAGAAATAAGATAGTGACTTTTAAGGGCTGCTCTCCCAAATGTTTTAATCTGACTAAAGTCTCTCTCTCTCTCTCTCTCTCTCTCTCTCTCTCTCTCTCTCTCGGCTCGGGCTCGCGCTCCTCCTCAAACGCGCGGTGTAATCCCGCAGTCAAACCTGCTCGGACTGCGAGCAACAAGGGAGAACTAATCTCCACTATCTTTTTGTTTTATGCGTTTGCAGCAATTTTAGCTAAATGAATTTTCAGGCTATAGGAAGAAAAGTGGGCTCTCATGCGCGCGCACGCGCGCGCGCACACACACACACACACAACCTTTCTGTATGTGTGCGCGAGGAAATTATAGCAGAACTCATGCATTAGCTGCACATTTTCCGGCAGCAGTGGGGGATACAGGCCGACTCAAAGTCCATGTCCTCTCTCTGCTTTCTTCAATGTAAACACGGTTTATGGTTGATTTCTGCCTCAGAGAAGCGAAAGCCTCTAATAACATGTTACAGTTTGTCAAAAACGGTGTTCGGAGAATTTAGACTCGTTCAGGTCGTTGCCAGCAACTGGTGTGTTTTTGTTGGGGGTTTATGGGGATCGGTTATTATTTAGTAAAAGACAATAATACATGATTTTGTTTTTCAAAAAAAACATTTGTGTTCAGACCTGTTTACATTTATAAGTCTTGTGCTGCAGTTTACCACAAGTCATATAGGAGACACATGTTATGTGCAACAGAAAACTAGCACTGCATCACCCTAAACATATCACTATTGTGAAACATGGTGGTGGCAGCATTATGCTTTGGGGATTATTTCTTTTCCCCTTACCATAATCAGCCAGTTACAGTTGGATACATTCAAACAAAGGATGTTGTTTGTGTTAGAATGGCCCAGTCAAATCCATTTCGGTATCTATGGCAACACTTGAAAATTGATGTTCAGTGATTCTATCATGTCTGACTTGGCTTGAGCTACTCTGCATGGGAAAAATTGATACAAAATTTGGAAAATCTCGATCTGCAAAGTATTGAGTTTAGTAGGAGTGAACAGATTATGCAAACCACTAACATGCATAATTTTACTTAATTTTCACAGGCACGTAACACTTTTGTGTGGATCTACAACATGAAATCCCAGTAAATCACGTTGGCGTTTGCGGTTTGTGGGGTACGAATACTTTTGTAGGGCACTGCATCTGTGTAATAATATAATCTGAGACTAGTTAAGTTGTGTTATTTGAAGAAAAGTATTTATTTACAACACACATGTACACATATACCCTTCAAAGTAAAAGCATACGACTCATGACTTTGTCTTCAAAGAAATTTTAAAAGATGTGCGTCATACATGTCTGAAGCAATGGATAGTGGAAGCATTGATAACACACACTCACACTCTCACACACACACTCTCTCTCTCTCTCTCTCTCTACAACACACACATGTTCCCAGTCAGATCAATACTGTTCCACACATGCAGCACACATAAAAACTGCTGGGCTTTTATTTTAGCCCTATGCTATTGAGACAGATGTTTGGTAGTTATAGCTGCAGATTTAATCAAAACTCAGGACCCAGTTTGATGAGTTAAGAGACTAAAAGGAGCCTCATCATTCTTCAACAGTCGCCATTTTGAATACATCAGCTTGATCGGACTTCAACAATCCTCTTCAAACAGGATGAAAAAAGACATTAGATGGTTAAAATGTTGCTGAATAAGAACAGTAATTGTGTTATGAACTTTAGTTCACACTAGAAAACCAGTTGTTTTTTTTTTTACTTAAAACAACATTGGCCTTTCACATGCTAGGTAGCTAGTGCTAGCTAGTGCAAGTCTAGCTAGCTAAACAATTGGTTGTAAAGTATACTAAGTGTAACTTTTCTCATCTAAATTCAAGTTTTGTCAATAAAACTTCTAAATATACATTTTTTGACATTTATTTTTTTACTGCAGTAGTGAACTGAAAATAGTACATTTTAGCTTAAATATTAAGTCTTTATTATTCCTGGTAATTGGTCACTCTATTCATTCCTTCTTCTGTAGCTTTAGTGTAATACACTTGTCCATTTTAAACCTAAATAATGGTTTATATATAAAGATAAAGATCTTAGAGGCACTGTTAAGTCTAATTATGTTATAGTCTCATATATAGCAGGTGATATTTTGATGCTTCTGACTTTTACGTACAATAATTTTTACCTTCAGCATAAAACACCCAGTAGAAAAAAAATCAGCTAGCCAAAAATGTTGGAATGGACGTACAGTTACTTTTTCACCACTGAGACATTTTTATTGAAAACAAGAAGATGTGTGCATTAGAACGGATTAATTTTGGACCCAGAAAAGGGTTGGCAAAATAACCTAGACTGGGCTGTTTTTAACCCAGCAGTTTTTAGAGTGTTACTTTTACATTCTCTCCTGTCTGTTGATCAGCATAATACCAACCTAGTCAAAAATAAAAGAAAAAAAAACAAGAGTGAACCGTGGCATAAATGTTGTTTTCCCAAAGCATCTGCATCGAATTATGAGAGGGAGAAAATCCATTGGCCGTGTGAACGCGAGTGCACCGCCATGTGACGTTAAACGCACCGATAAGACCCTGGAAAAGATGTTCAATCGGATAGAGATGGAGAAAAAAACAAAAAAAAAAACATGTCTTCTGGGTCATACTTGCAACTTCCCCATCAACTGTGAAAAATTTCTAAAGAGTGCATCACCATGACGACACTAAGAGGATCTCTTCATCCTATACGTATAAAGTGAAAGCAGTAGAAAACGGGATGGCGGGGGGAAAACTTTGCCCGTCTGGTTGAAAAAAAAAGTCCAGCCAAATTGTCAGAAACATCTGCATCTTGTATGTCCGTGAGGAAACTGTGAGGAGTGGTAAAAAAAAAAATAAAAATAAATAAAAATCGAACAAAACCAACACCTGGATCGCCGACCTTTCCGATATTCCACAAAGGCTGTGAGAAAGTGCGGACATCGGATTTTACTTCGTTTTCCAAAACAAACAAAAATGCAACGTGGTTCAATGAAACTGGAGGTTGGGACAGTGCCTACCCACACACACACACACACACACACACACACACACACACGCACGCTCACACATGCACACCCACAGATAAGAGAATCCGCAAACAAACCAGAAAAAAGAGAAAAAAGTTCACATCCTTTTTTAAAAAATCTATTAGAAACAACATAATATGCAGAACAATACAATAGCATTTACAATACTTAGTTTCCCAGTTCTTGTGAGAGTCCAGCGTAATTTTACAACAGTATACAGTATATTTTCTTTCTCAACTCATTTCCCAAACTAGGGCTTGATATAGTTTTATACTTTTTAATTTCATCACTTTTGCCATCTCTCCATCCAGGTCTTAATCCACTGTATTCTTTTTTTTTTAAAGGGCACCTCCTCCTGTCCTTTACAGACATTGGCTTCTCTTTGGTCCACATCCTCCGTCCCAAAGAGTAGAGCACTCCTCATGAAAAGAAGTCTTTTAACATTTGCCCTCAAGAGTCGAGAATAGATCAACCGGGTACCACATTTGCCGGAGGTACAGGTAAATCGCCCGAAAAGAGTCAATCACAATCACTTTGATGGAGGAATCCGCGTGGGGCGACTGGGCAGCAGCAAAGGGACTGAAGTCTTGTGCCAACCAGAGAACAAGAAGAAGAAGAAGCGGTATTCTGTCAGGAGTCAGGTCTTCCTGCACTTGGCCGAATTTTGATCAACGCAGCTCAGTTCGATTCTGGTGGAAAGAGATCAGAGGCAGCCATGGAAGACGTCCAGGTGACGGGTGTCGGCCAGACGAAACGGTCACTGAGTCCGGAGTCTTGTTTTCGTTGGTTACTGGCATCGGGAAGTCGAGGTGTGCCGTTCCTTAGCTCCACGGGCCTCTGGGAGACACACGATTCCCCTCCAGCTCTGAGGAGAGAGAATATTCAACTGATCAATACTCAATAATCGGTTTTAAACTGGCCGTATTAGACAGCACCGTAAATGACAGAGGGTATGGGAAGGTGTTCAGGTTTATGTGCAAGTGGCGTTTTGGGTGTACATCAAAAAGTTATCATTCAACCAAAGCCCCTGCTTCCACATGTTCACTGCGTCTTTTTTTTTTTTTAATGGGTATTAGAGTAAAGGGGAGCAGGCAGAGAAACACACAATGCTAAATCAGAATGAAATACATTCATTTTCTGTTATAGCATGACAAAGTGTGAAAAACTTCAAGGAGTCTGCAGTACTTCAGAGCAGAAACTATTTCAGCAGCAGAACTTGTAACAATAAATAATTACACTAAATGAGTTAAATAACAATCAGTCATTAACAGCAATAATCAGTCAGACAGAAGCAGACATTTTCATGTTGACACATGTAAACATTGTGAGATTTCCTGTTGGAGTAGTTCAGTGTGGTTATGTCTTGATGCTCAATTCTATTTTTCTCCCTGAAATGTGATTTTTCTTGTCACTCATCTATTCATTAAATGTGACAGAAATCAGACTTCCGTGTGAACGGTTTACATATATAAAGTGCTCCGCATGCGCTAAAGAACGATGACGTCACACTGCAGCACAGAAGTAATAATGGACGGGAACTTTTGTGGATCGATTTTAAAGTTTAGTCAGCAATGGGAGCTGAATCGTCCCAAGACCGTAACACAAAGGAAGCTACTAGCAAGAAAGCAAAAGAGCTAGCAACAGCCTTTTGTGGAGCAACTTCTGTAGGGAAGTCTGTTTGGATGTGCTTCAGTGACAAAGATTTGTTTCCTAAGTTCATAATCATAATTTTCAGCCATCGTTTACATCGGGATTTAAAGCGTGTGGCTTTTCCTGGCACAGATATGTCTCACATCGGTGACATAAAGGGGGTATAAAATGCAACAAGACCGTTGAGACTTAAAAACAATCGGATATGAATCCAAATCAATACCACATATAGAAGTGGCACAGACCAGATTTGTTTGGGGTGAAAAAGCTCCGACGATGAAAAAGTTGCAGAAAAAGTGGCCAAAAAAAGTCAGACATGAGTCGCATTTGCCCGCTGTGTGAACGTAGTCTATGTGTCAACCAACAGAACCATGATAGTCTGGGTCAGAACCACAGCAGGAATCCACATACCGTGCCGATGCATGAGACGAACACAGAGGGTTTTGAAGGATGTAGTGAGTTAATCCTACACCCAACAGTAATGCTACTTTAACAGGAGGAAAGGACTTAAGAGACCAAACACACATGATCAGCTTGAAGCGATACAAGGTTGAGTGCATAACATTTCCTGGATAATCTGTTGAACTGGACTACGAGGTAACTCGGAATTAGCCCTCGGTATTCTATCTGAAGAGAGACCAGTCAGCAACTGAGACAGACTCTCGCAAGCAATCCGGAACGACTTCAAACTGGTGCAGCTTGACGGCAAACTTCCTCAGAAACATGCAGAGGGTAAAGAAGAAGTCTTCCTCTTGGCAGCAACAAAGACGCTCATCCGTCTGTCAGCAGGTGGGGAGTGACCGGCGAGCGCACGTGACCGGCGTTGTTGTCAAAGCCAAAGAGCGAGAGGCGAGAGCCGCAGACGGCTGTCACCTGAGAGTGCCGTCCACGCGAACGCTGCACACACACACACACATTCACACACACGTATACACCAGGGGACCATTACAGACGAGACAAAAGCGCAAAAGGAAAAGGATAAGGAGCACAAGAACAATAATAGTTTCCTACCTCCCCTCATCCATCAGTTTTCAACAAAGCAGAAAAAGTGTGGCTTGTTTAAGACAAGTGTGAAATATTGTGCTAGTTTAGTTGTAGCTATTTATGCTAATGGTGGGTTCTAGGTGTTATTTTCTATGTGACAGGCACCAAACTTTGAATCTTTTTGTCTAGATTCTAATGCAAATATCTTAGCACCCTGGAAATAAGACAAAAATAATTTGCATGTAACTTTTCAGCAAGATATGGGCGTTTGTTTTAAGTCAATAATTTCTTAACTTTGATGATAAAGTACCTGGCTCCACTGGTAGATGGGAAAAATGTCATTAAATGTAAAATTATCTGCCAGTGGATCTAGTACTTTTTGCCAATATTAAGGAACTATTGACTTAAAACAAGCTTGTACAATCTTGCTGAAAAGTTACTTGTCAGTAAGTTTTGTCTCATTTCCAGTGTACTAAGGTATTTGCACTACAACCGGACCAGAAATACTTGGATTAATTCTGTTTTTGATCCTAAACTTCAGGATTTCCAGTCAGCAGAATTGAGTCAGATTTCCTAAAACCTTAGCAGGTGAACTCTAACAGACTATAATACTACTGGCGGAGTCGTGTGTCTTTCCTGCATTTTTTTCACCTCAGGTTAACAAGGCTGCACTGATTACTGCGGTAAACTCATGCCAAGAGGCCAATAATGCTATGAGTGCTTGGAAGAGCTCAACGTTGCTTATGGGGTTTTTCACCTAATAAGCAAATCAATACATTGAGCTGTAAGTCTCATTTCCTCGACTCTGAAGGGGGGATTCCACAGGGGCCGAATCAACAGGGACACACATTCACATGGACAATACAAGGGGCCACGCAAGCTCCATGGGGACGTGGTTTTCCTTTTTGTTTTTTTTGTTTTTGTTTTTGCTGTGTTCCTTCTTTTCCTTCCAGTTGCTTAATAGTCAAGGTTCCTCCACAGGAAAAAAAAAAGAAGTTTTGTGTGATAGTTGGAGGGTTTGTGGAAGTTGGGGTTGAGGGAAGGGATCTTGACCCCCCATCGGCGGAAGATTAACAAATTTGCGCTTAATGATTTCAGCGATGAATCCTGGGACAAAGGGTCTCCAGCCGAGACTGGCGGAGAAAGCATCCGTTCATTCAAGCGTTGTCGATTTGGGGGGAGCTCCTAATGGGCAAGAACCGAGAAACAAATTCCATACTCTCTGCGTCATAATTAATTCTTCCACTCTGTGATAATTCTCCTGAAGCCCCAAAATTACAGTTTTTCAGGGGGTGGGGAGGCACTCATGGCTAATTTTGTGTGAGAAGGAAAGCAAAGAGACAGAGAAGGAAAGGAGGGAAGGAAAAAAGGGAAACGGGGTAAGGGTCATCCGAGAGTCATTCCCGTCGCAATCAAAGGCTCGGCTCGCTTCTGCTCCACTTGCTGGGCTTCATCTCTGCTGACAGGTGTATTGTTTCGCAAGGGGATATAAGCTCCGTAATCATCATCGAGTGGAAGGCATAACGCTCTCCACTAAGCAGGACTAATTGGCTTTAGTTTTAACTAATGTTGCGGTGTGACTGCCAGGCACACCTTCTGTAGCCGAGGCTCGGCACAATAACCGCTCAATTTAGCCCCCGCAGTAACAAAAACCTCAAACGCCGCTAATGAAAATTGCTTATAAAATATAATGAACCTGTGCTCTCTTAATCAAATAAGATAACTGTCCCCACTCCTCCCTCATGTAATAACCTATTAATTTAATTGGTCGTGAAAGAGTATAACATGTCGCTTACTTTTAAATGACCTAGAAAAAAAAAAGGGGAGAGAGGAAGAAAATTCGACGGAGCTGATGAAGCTGTACGGGGGGAAAGACTAGTTTGCGGAGACGAGACGTTTTTTTTTCTGTCATCATCCGTCTCTCGGCCCCTCTCCTCTCCTCCGTCTCTCTCTCTCCATCCGCCCCTCCCATCTTCTTTCAGTCTACCTCGCCGTCTCTGTCCTTTATTTCCGTCTCTCTCTCTCTCTCTCCCTCCCTCCTCTCTACTCTTCACGTCTTTTCCGCGCTTCGCCCCGTCTCACCGAGGATTCCTCTGGTGGCCCAATTACGGGATTCAGCAGGCAAATTGAGGCTGTTTAAAGCGCGGTCTGCTGGGAAGGCTAGCAGCTGCTTGGAAAGAAAGCTGCCGAAACCGGCCCTCGTGTTTACTCACTTCACACGGCGGCGGCGACGACGCGGACAAAACAAGACAAAAAAAAAACAAAAAAAAACATGTTTAGCTTCTTCTTCTTCTTCTTCTTCTCCTACCTTACTCTTCCTGCGTCCCGCGTGAGATGAGATCGCCAGTCTTCTGTTGTCGCCAACATTCGAGGCAGAATATATATATATATATATATATTTCCCACTACAGCGTATGAGCCTTGTGCAGAGGGTTAATGGTCCCTATTTTTGTAAACTGAATAAGTCAAATCCATTGGTCACACCTCCAGTGACGGCATATTTAATTTGGATCTAGTCAATTAGGCCCGGCTAAGCTCCATACCCTGCTGGCTACCTCCTCCATTTTGCAGTAGTTTGTGTCCCCTCTCTGTGCCAGGAGTAATCCTATTACCATACACACACACACACATACACACACACACACACATATATATACCAGTATACGGGCCAGCGTGGAGGTACACAGGCTAACGCCCACGCATCAGCATGTATTTATTTCACTTATAAACGTTGTGTGGTGGCACAACACAGCAAGGGGAAAACAATGATGTTCGGCTGAGATTGGACCCGGCGCCGCTTTAAAACACAATGTGCGGCTGTGACACCATCCACAGCCTGTATACATCCAGAATTATGTGGGAGTCTGTTTTGCCCTGGGGCAAGAGTGAGGGAAGGAGTGAGAGAGAGAGAGAGAGAGAGAGAGAGCAGAGGGGAAGAGGGGGGAGAGAAGTGAGAAGGAAGAAGAAGAAGAAAAAAAAATCTAGAAAAAGGTGTTGTGTGAAAGAGATGGAGGGAGGAAAATTGACAGTGAGAAAAAGCACAATGTTGGAGCAAGCATGAGGAAGACAGTGAGGGTGGGTGGTGGTGGTGGTGGGCTCCCTGTAGCTGGTTAGCATGTGTGTATTAATGCGGCTCATGCATCAACAGCAACCCGGCAGATTTATGACACTTAAGGGGCGCGCACTTCTCTCGCTCTCCTTGCACCAGCAACGACTGCTTACATTTTTGCCAATCAGTCTGTTGCCATAGTAACCTTCTACCTGCCCCCTCCCTTCCCACTATAGGTCTCCACACCACCCCCCCTCCACCCATCTCCTGTCCCAACCCATCCCCGCCCCCTTTCCTCTTCCTCCTCGCCACAAGCCAACACACACAAAAAAAATCTGTGTACAAACGGTTTATTCTTTCATAACTTTGTCTCTATTTTGAAGATTTTCTTTATTAGTAATCCGTACTGTAATATATTATTACACTGCGTGTTACTTTAAGCCTTCATACTACATCTCTCTCTCTCTCTTTTTTTTTTTTTTTTTTTTTTTTGTTTTTTATTTTTTCCTTTTTTTTTTTTTTTTTTTTTG